TTTTTTCTTCAAAGTGCGTCAGGATTATTATATAGAAAAGTGAAGCAAAAGAAAATAAATGAACGAATCTTTATTTGCACATATAAGTGTCTCGTGATGCACCACTCCAAAGTCCCACTAGTTAAGTCTGTGTATCCTACTGAACCATTGTGTGCTTCCCAGTGGTTTGGTGAAGAAAGACAGGCAACCTCGGAGGACTATTCAGCCCATGCAGCACCTGAGTCACTCTGCAGAAGTGCCTGTCTCTCATGATGGATTACAGACGGATCCCAGTGAAATCAGGCTTCCAGATTGGTGCCTTGAATACATAGAGTTCAGATGTGGGTTCAGAACTTTTTGTCAGAGATTTTACCTTTGTGTCTTTGCTCTTGGACCTATAGGTATGCAAATATGTAGTAGAAAAACATTTTTAGAATGCACTTAGAATGAGGTTAAGAGTCTAAAGGCAAAAGCATGTGATCAGAGCCAAATGATTGTGGTTTAAATTACCATCTCTCAGCTGAGATGTTTTAATTCCTGGCCTATTGCAACTTCGCAAGTGGCTGAAATTCTACAAGTGGTTTCCCTGGAAAACTTGACTCATTCTTCTGAGATTTAGAGACGTAATGGTAATTTTCCAGCATAAACTGGACCCATGTCCATTTTACATACATTATGTGTAGCATTTCAAATGCATGTTTGCTACCATTTTCTGTCCTTACTGATGTATCTTCTGGTCCATCTCAGACTCTTCAGCTACCGACTTAGTCACGTGTCTTTCCAGGTCTGACATGGGTATACACTCAGGCTCTTGTTTCCAGCTGGGGAAGGCCTTAGTCCATGGCATCCTTCCCTCGTCCCTGGTGTGTGACCCTGTGCTTTGTATTTCTAGTTTCAGTCCAGTCCTTCAGACTGTCAGTTCCGTTCATTCTGTGTGCTTTGCCATCTTCACCTTTCTACTGAGGGCTTATGGGTTTGTGTCACTGGAAAAATGTTGTTAGCATACTCTGAATATTTGTATCGATATCAGTAAAACATATTTGGTTCCAAAAACATCCTTTGAAACATCACCAGTAATCTTCTTCTGTCCCAGTAATATCCTTTTTAGTCCTGATGTTGTTTCCTTCCCTTAAACCAGGTTGTGATTCTTTTACATTTCTAGAGTACCTTATCCAGAGTAACTTTTTTGTTTTCCCCTAAGTGACATTGTATCCAATATCTATGATCATATCAGCTAGATTTCCTCTTTTCCTTTTCTTAAATATCAGTTTTCTTATAAAGAGAGATGCCAGGTTAATTTGGCATAATGTTAGTCTATTTTGGGATAAAGCTATTACTTATTATATTCCATTTTTTATTACCTCAGTGTCTCTAGCTATGCAATGCTTCATCATTTGTTTCAAATCCTTGCACAGCTCATGAGGTCAGAGCCACTTGTTTTTATGTTGCCTGGATCATGAACATCCCTTTTTCTTAAAAGAGAAAAAAGTTAGGGTTTTTATTTTTCAGACATTTGATTGTCAGCCCAATAGATTCATTAGAAGTCTTTGCTATTAAACTGACCTTTCATGTGCAAGTATTTTAAGTACTCTTGAGTGGAGATTATGGGGTCTCGCCCTCCTGGTCTAGACATTTCCTGAAAAACAGTTTTATGTCTTTGTTTTGTTCTCATCTTCAATGAGTAATTTTCATTTCCACAGCCTGTATCATTAGCCACACTGCATTTGCTACTGTAGTCAACATCCCCATATTAATTTTGTTTTGGACTGTCTGTAAATTATCTTTAATCTTAGCTGCTTTTTGCTACTCGGTGAAGCACTCTTTTTCCTGTTTTCTTTTTATTTGGATGATGAAAGTAAATTTTAGTACTTGCAATTTTGCAAGATCTGACCCTGCCTGACATTTTCTGTTCTCGCTTTCTCCGTATATTTTCTGACATCTTACAGTTTTCCTTGCATATTAGTTTCATTTTCTACCCTACAAGCTTTCTGCATACTCCAGATATACTCTCTGAGGTGACTGCTCATCTAGTTAGAAATGGAGCCTTCTGTTATAAAAGGTTTTTCCACATGTTTGAAGCTGCAAATTTTTCACAGCCCACAGCCACAGTCTTTTTCTTAAAGGAATTCTAGCACTTCCTTGTGTCTTCATTTTTTCCCTTATTTTCTGTGTTTTTTTTTTTTAAAAAAGTGAAATTCTGATTTATTTATGTTTAATATTTATTCATATTACAGGCATTTTTTTTTAAATGGAATGAATGTGTTGTCACATAGATAGAGCTTTCTTGACCAACTATCTGTAAGGTTTTGTAGCTCACTTTTCTTGTGTTACGTGTCACATCCTCATATACGTGGCTCTACCCCTTATTGGTAGAATTTGTTTTCTGGGAAGTTACAATACTACCTCATAGTTTTCATAGTGCTATTTACTCCTTATTTATTATTTCATTACATTATTTGTTTTCTAAATAATACAGGAGTTGATATACAACAAAAGGGATCCTACATAAACCTTTCTGAAAGGAATCTGAAACCAATTAGAAACCTTTTGTGCCCTCTCTGATTTTCTTACCACTTATCACGTACTTGGTTTGTAGTTCATCACATCACTATTTTTGCCATGAGGAAGACCATAAGGTTGGTACATGTGGATGTGGGAAATAAGCAAGAAGAGGATTACTATGTCAAACTGACTTGCAGATCTCCTGCATCATCTATGTGACAGGGAAGATACAATGAGTTATACAAGCTATTGCAGGCAGTTTTATGCCCTTCTACACTTCAATACAGTCCTCTCACCCAAATTTTTAGGCAGAATATTGCCATTGCTTTACAATTTTAAAAAATATCCAATTGGCGAAATTAGGATATTTTAAGGAGGTAGTCAAGGTGAAAATCATTCATACAATCTTACAAATTCATGTTAGTTAAATTCCTTATAGTTTCTTTCCGTTGCATGCCAAGAGATCTTACATTATTTCTCTCAGTTTAATTTCATTAATTTCAGTTTTTTCTATTTTGTTGTTAAATAAAGCCAAGAGACTGCTCTGTATCACTGCTTTCCTGGAAGTCTTTTATTAATTTTCTTTAAACAGGCCGTATGAATTTTAAGTGAAATTATTTTTTTCTTTTATCCACCATATGTTAGATTAGTGCACCTCTAACTGAGAGAGGTTAGTGCTGCTGGGCCATCAGGCCTAACCAGCAGTGGCTTCTGCCTTGCTCTGTCATTTGGACATGGGAATGGGAAAACCAGTCCTCCTTTTGTAAGAGGATCTTTTCTTCACCAGCAGACATCAAACTGTTAAATCACAAGAGTGCCTAACATGGAGAATGCAAAGTCATTGTGATAAGTAATCCTTGAAAGGAAGGAAAATACAGGGAGATGGTTATGTTTTGTCTTTAGGTTTTTTTAAGCTACCCTAGGCCTTACCACCATTTTCCAGAATGGCTTATGCTCTCGCCTGTCAGTGAAGCAGAGTAATCACAAGAGTAGGTTTTTATTATGTATTTTATATTCTACTTTTTTTTCCATGTCCTTTACCAACAGAGAGTTATTCAGCAATTTTTAAGGTGGCAGCTCCTGTTTTAAAACAAGAACTAACGTGATTCTGTCATATGTTTTTGAACTATGGTTTTTACAGCTATTGAACTGTCTCTTATCTTAGGACCATCTTGGAAGGCAAACAAGATTTTACTGAGCAACAAAAGATGCTCCTTTTTCTCATTAGAATGTTCTATTTACAATAGTTATTTAAATTCTTTCTTATTGGCAGCAGACTGGGCTTGTATTTTCAGGCAGTTGACTCTAACTGCAGGCTACAGAAGCATTTAAAATAGACTGCAATAAGATTCTATTTTTGAGAGGTAGTGATTGGAAGGGAATCTTCTGTCAATCGGATATACATTCAAATGGTATTTATTTTAAAATTGAATATTCTAGTTTAAAAGTGTTGCAATTGTTTTCACATGTGCTACCTAAAATTGTAAAGGAATGCTAAAGAATGAAGTGATAGAAATTTGCACCTGCAATTTAGTGTGGAACGTGATACTTATTGTGCAACATAAATAGTGTAGATTGTCAATTCATCTGCATATTTGAGTATTTTTCAAGAAAACTAAAGAATTTTTTTAAAAAAACTTTCCTTACTTTTATAATTCTTTGTGCTATTAGATATATAACAAATTTTAAGCAATGTATTATTCAACTGGTAGAAGGCTAGCATGCCGTGTCCTAATAGATTGAGCAGCTGCATTGGTTCTTTAAGATACTTCACACTTAGCAAATAATCATAAGTAAATATAGTCCTATGAGTATCAAAATATACTACATTGCCAATATTGTGTCAATATTTAATGACAAAATTCAGTTTTGCAGCAGCGGCCAAGTGGAGTCCAAGTGGGTGGGAGAGGGCTGGAGGAATCGGTAGCCAGAGGCTTCAGGAAGAAGGATTTGCACCTCTCAGTAGAGGTAGGAGCTGCAGCTGTTGCTGCATGAGGGAGTTACTCCTTGCTGCTGTAGCTGGCCCTCTCCATGCTCCTTTTCAGGGTTTGTACCTAAATAGTTAATCCTGCGTTCTCAGGTTGTAGTTTCTAGCTGTTCTTTGCCTACAGCTGGCCAAGGAAGTGAATGGAATCGCTGCACTTGGAGTTTTGTCATGTTAATAATAGCTAACAGTAGACAAATACGGGAATGAGAAAGAGATTAAAGTAATAAGAAAGCCCATTGTTCATACGGGATGTTTTAATTCTGTATTCCTTCTTAAAATAAGAATCTGTATATAGACCTATCAAAATTACATACATTAGATTTCAAAGTCCTGGTGATTTCAGGTGTCTCCTCATATTTAAGATCATATTTATTAATTTCTATTTTTAATTGCATATGAACTACGTTAAGCGAATCTGTTAATCATGTTCATTTAAAACTATAATTGATGGGATCTATTTTAAAAGCTGAATTTGAAAATGAATGAAAAAAAGGACTTGACACACTCTTTGCTTCCATTGTTAGGCCATGGGAAATGTGACTGTGGGAAGTGCAAATGTGATGAAGGTTGGTATGGTGAAGCTTGTCAGTATCCAACTACTTGCAATCTTACACGGAAGAAAAGCAATGAAATGTGCAAGAATTCTCAAGATATCATCTGTTCTGGTGCAGGTAAGATGTCTTTTATTGCTTTTGATGGCTTGATGCTCTCCCTGTGTTATCTTGAGAATCACTGTAATTTCTAATTAGGAATTTTGTAGAGTATGTTTCAAGAGACTGAGAAATAACTGCGTATATAGTAAAATGCTTAGTTTTCCTGTAGGCCTATTCCTCTGCATATGTTGTGCCCTGATTCAGAATGCCTGCTTTAGTACTCTAGATTATCCATAGCTATTTTAGGTTGATAAAATTGCAGATGTGTCATGTATTTTGCCTGTCAAAAGGTTGTGGTAATGGCATTAACACAGAAAGTGATGTCATATTTTTGTGTTTATAGCATTCAAAAAGGGCATTTGCAAATAGTTTCCCAGGACATTTATAAGCTATACAATTTTTTTAGACACTTTTGAGCTGCAACAATGATTATTAAAAACAGTTGTGGAAGATCTGCTGCATCATTTTAGTGGGTTACTTCCATCTTTGCTTCTCTGATTCGGCAACTCTCTTTTCTCTAACTCTTTAATGTTATAACTCATCCTAACTTAAATAGGAAGTCCTTTCCTTAAAAAAAAACAGAGGAAAAAGAAATAGACTTTTAGAAGACTTCACTGCAGAATGGTAAAATTTTGAAGGGCATTTACTGCCAGTCCAGGTTTGAGATCAGAAACTGCCTTCCAGTTTTTCCATTACATTGATCTCCAAGGGAGAGAATGTTTCAAGAACCCCACTTCTGCTCACTATTGCTGGCCTTTAATTTCTGTTTGGGTCCATACATTTTCATACAACTAAATTTCTCACAAGATAGTTGCTGACATGAGCAAAGAATCCAAAAAATTTGTGGGACTGGCTACAGAGAAGCTCGGCTCTCACAACAAGATGCAAAACCAATTTAACATAAAATTTTAAGCACACAGCATACTGAGTAAATGATATCTTTCATTTATGACAATAATACAGAGTATGTGAAACTCATGATTGTTTGACTAACAGATGAGAGACACATAAATGAGAAACTGACTCTCAAAAATAAGCATATTTTATTGTGATCAAAGTACTTAAACAAGAATAGTAAGACCTGTTTTTCCTCTTTCTTTCCTTGACTAGAACTGGCCCCAGTCTGTCTATCACTGACTCTTCACAGGCAAACCAACATAGCTGAACAACCACTAAAAGTGGCTAAGAGGGGAGTGTTTGTGAGATCAGGAGAAGATTAAATGCTTTCATTTTTGCTGGTATTAAACAGGACAGGAATTCCAACGAGACTGGGTCGGCAGTTTGGGGTAACTTTGATGGGCTGTAACCATACATATTTTGTCCTGATAGGATTGCCGTTCAATCTACTGCCAACATTGCCTTTGGGGTCTGAGTTCTGTTTTTCAATTGCCAATAACAGACAGGAAGGGATGACATGAGTTGTTGCAAAACCAGTCCTCTGCTGTCACACAGCTAACCATTTATTGTAATTCTTTTCAAGAACCAATTGAAATCCACCTAAAATTTAACTTTTCTGACTCAACTGTTCCTAAGCATTTGTCAGAGTAACTAGGGCATCCCACCTAAACCGAGATTCTCTCTCCGAGCAATTTCCACTTCTAGTCAGTGGGAAGGAGTGGACACTTTTACAACACATAGTCTGTCTGACCTCTTAAGATACCCAATTAATGAATCAATTCACCATTTTATCTTTTTTCCTTTTGGGGAATTTTGTATAAACAAGACAGTTTTCTCAAAATTTTTGTTTGTATTTATTTTCCAAGTAATTGTAGTGAATAATTCTAGTTCTAGGTTACTTATGTTGTCTTATCAGTTACATTATTATTATTTTATTTTATTAGCTCTTGCAAACATTTTTAAAGTTTACTTTTTTAGACTGACCACGTGTGTCGCAGAGCCCCATTCTTCTGTTCTTTGTTTGGATTGATATGACGTTTAGTAAAACTTGTACTATACTTGTAATAGTGATGTGTAAAATGGTTTCTGCAAACTGGTTGTGTAATACTTCTATTTTGGAGGACTTCTTTTGTGTCAGTAACCATGTTTTCTAAAATATGTATGGATGTAACATGAGGAGTATGAGTTTTGTGAATTAAGTTCCTCTTTTTTTTTAAATCTATACTTGCTGGCATCGTGATGCCAGTGACTGCTGAAACAGCTTGTACAAGCCCATTGGCCACAGGGCCCCAGTTAACATGGTATTGCACAGAGTTCCTACAATTTAAATAAAGGTGATAGAGGAAGGGAAAAGGAGTGTCTTACATGACTGCCATGGTAATACTGTAGTTTCTAACATGTTTTTATAGTGGTTTTGCTTTTTTGACTGTGTAACTCCTTATTATGTTTATTTATGGCTGTTACATGTTATCATGCATCATGTTCCAAACTAGAACATATTCAGGAGGAGGAAAGGAAGGCAGTTGTTTGCTTTGCCCTGGCAACTGCACCTCAGGTCAGATAGACTCTCTGAGGGAAAAGGGGGGATTCTTCCTTCCCTGGGAGCAACAAAACAACTTTTTTCTATTTGGGAGGGTGAGTCACGGAGAGAGGCAGCCACTGACGTGAGGGGGCAACCCTGCTCAAAAGACCAAGAAGCAAATGTGTGACCGGAGCAGAGATAGGATCTGTTTACAAACCCATTACCATCCTTTGCATCACCTGAGCACTCTGGCTTTTCGTTATGTCAGAAAGTTTTCTGTTGTGGTTTATGTTGTGAGAAAAAAACAGCTCTACATTTCCAAAGCATTTGGGAGTCCTGGGGGTACTTACATTGATGGAGAATCTCAGGCAGACCCATATTCTCAAACCACTGGCTGGTCTGACATGGGTAAAACCCATCTTACTTGTGACAAATCAGCAAGTGTCTTTATTATAGCTCTTAACGTTCTTGCAAGGTCTACTCTTTTCTGAGACATCACCCACAAACTGGAGAAAAATGAGGCCTAAAAGCTAAAAGTTAGGTTGTGTCAAAATCCTGAAATAACAAGTTATTATAAAGGTTCCTACAGTTCTTCAAATTGATGAAATAACTTATCACGTGAACATCAATACCACTGGAAAAACATGTACTTTGCAGTAAAATTGTTGATATGCTGTTTATAATACTTATGGTTTGTTTAATAATGCTGTGAATGTATTTCTCTGCAATTAGCTTGTCTATTGTATAATTAATGTATTTCTGTAGTAATTGCTTTCTAGCTTGAGTCCTTTTTTCCTGACATCTTGATCATAAGGTCTTCATGCAGATGTTCCTCACCAATGTTTCTTTCCCTTGATTCCTGGCTTTTTCTCCAAGGCTATAATTATAAAATCTTAATCCTCAGATGATAGCTGTAGGAAAGGGACTAGAGACTAGAGTGCAAAGGAACTTTGAACTTAGGCAGACATATTTTCAGGTCCTCAGTAGCCATGCCTTATTAGTCTCGTGTAACATGGCTGTGGAACTGGACAAAAGCAGGCTTCATTCTTGAGAAGATGACCAAGTTAAATTTCCTCCTTTCAGTAGGCAGAAGATATATTCTCCAAACCTGACTTCATACCTCAGTTGTATGAAGTCAGACAGACCACTCTAAGAATGAATTTTACTTAGGAATATATGGTGCTCCATATTAAAAATGTACTAGTTGAATGTTGTGTCTGTTTACATCTAAGATTAGGCTTTTTGTTGATATGGATTGTTTCTGTGTCTGTCTTTATTTGGCTGGATGATCTTTAGATTTCAGCCTTCTCAGAAGTGAAATATGTACCTTCTCCGATGGACTAATGAAACCCTTTCTATAAAGTGCATTCATTGAGTACTGTCTTAAATGTTCACAGGCACATGTCAGTGTGGCAGGTGTAAGTGTGCAAACCCAGAAGGAAACGGACTGGTCTATGGTAAATTTTGTGAATGTGATGACAGAGAATGCATAGATGATGAGACAGAAGAGATTTGTACAGGTACGTATCTTAGTGAGTACAAGAAGAATGGTGAAGATTAATACAGGCTGTTATAAAATCATTTGTGTGGACCTAAAAAATGTCTTTACTGAATGTATGACTTAAAGTAAAAGTAACTATATTTGCAAGAATTTAGTTTGCAAATTGTAAATGGGAATTTCAGATGCAAAAATGAGCTAAGCAGGAGGTTAAAGAATGAGGAAATCCTGTGACAGCCTCCTCTTTTTGGAAGAACTGCAAAGAGGATTATACAAGGTAATTCGAGCTTAGTGTGTCTTCAGTAGAATGTAACAAGTTTGTAGCACACATGAGAGCGAGATGGAGGACATAGAAAAAAGACAAAAAGAAAAATAGATTATTAAGAATTTTGTCAAGGAAGCAAAAAATAAAAAGAACAAGAATAAGTGTAGAATGAGAACTCACAAGCAATTGAGGAGATAAAAAGGGAAAGGAATGCATGAAGAAAAAGTTCACTTGTGATAGGAAAGGCAAGAGAGTAAGATGGAGTGAACTCTGCTGATAGAAAGAAAAGCAACCAAAATTCAAACTGTGCTTTCGTTTCATTATAAGATAGGAACCTGGCAATTAAATATTGTGCAATACACACCATTTATGGCATTATAAATGCTGTTTCCTACATTATTAGAGAGGCTTGTCCTTGAGCTGGAAGGTGCTACGATTATTTTTTCAAGCTGTACACATGCAGACCGTGTCTGTATGCATACAGGAGGGTTCAGAACTGCTCTTGGACTATTCATACTTTGATAACAGTGCTTGCTCTGTGTGTGTGTGTATAAAGAGAGAGAGCACTTGTGTAAAATAGCTTTATCTGTCTTCATCCTTACAGAGAACAAAATAAATTCTATTTATTTAAGTGCCTTTGAAGGCAAAAAGAACTTTTTTTTGCATAGGATTAGATAGGGATTTTAAATGAGGATAAACAGAATGGTCTTCTGAAGTCCAAATCCAGAAGTAGAGTACAGTATTTCCAGTAACTGCCTCAAATAAAATGCGTGGAGGGCAACAATTTTTATGTGCCAGTGAGTCCATTTATATTTATTTGCTTCTAACTGTTACATATGGTACCAAATATGATAAAAATTTACCATTTATTTAGTTCCAGTAAGTTCTCCTTCTGCTGTTTTTGTCAGGTTTTTTTCCCTACCTGTGTTGCTGCTGATTTACATTGTTAGGTTTTTCTTAGCTTTTATTTCCCCTTGTTTAATCCAATGGTGCTATATTCCAAAACAGACCAGATGCATCTCTGTGAAAAACTAGTTTTATGTCTATGCAGAAATGAAAGTATGCTGATATAAAAGAACAAAAAATGTTGGTAGATTCAAGTCTCTAAGGTCTGTGATTCATCAGTATAAAATCCCTGATAACCCTATGTAAGGTTTGAAGACTTCTGAACTAAATGTAAGGTATAACATAATGGTGTGCTTGACTTGGTTAGGTTGTCGTAAACTCAAAAGTTTATGCACCTAGGTTATGAGTGTTAGATTTTGCTTTGGTTTCTAATAAACCTCTACAGTACGTAACCATATGTTGAACCAGGCCTTATGCAGGAAAAATGGACGGCACATGAACTCAAGGTCAAAGGTACATCATTTCATCACAGAAAAAGCAGGCCCACATGCCTATCTGGTTATTGCTTCTCTCTCCCATCCCGATGTCTCTTTTAATACTCTCTATACCGTCTTTTCGTCCCCAGGATTTTCACCACTGGAATCATTTAGGTTTATTTATGAAGTAATAAAGAAACAGTGTTCCAACCTGGTTCTGCTTAGCTAGCAATGGCCCCTGGATACTCTCCACAGACAGGGTGAACCTCTGCCTGTGCCTGTTGTACTTTCACCGTTGGTGTAGCACCTGCTTAGTTGCTACGTACCCTTTTTACCTTTTATTGCCCTTGAAGGTATAGACAGGTCTTGAAGATTTTAATTGTCCTCAAAGAAAGCCAACTCAGGAGGATCAAACTAATGAAAAACCAAAAGCTTCTGTTTACACACATGTTTCTAAAGCCTGCAGCTGTGAGCTGGGATTTTATCCTGAAAAAGCATGCAATGCCATGCTAAGATATGGATAATACGCATTTTAATCCTTGCACAAGGGGACTGCATTTTTTAAGCAAGTCAGTTCTTAGGTAGAGCAGACTGAACAAAGATGTATCAAGCTTTTCCAGCCTCAGGTGGATTTTTATCAATCAATTGATTGTATTGCTTTTTATTTGAGGTTACATAAACTTTGGAATCAAATTGCAGCTTGTTTTTAACAAAGTATCATGATTTCTAGCAAATTAAATTCTGATCCTGATCTTTTTTATCTAAGACTTTTTTTCTCTAATGGAGTGATTTGGTCTTCCATCAAGAGCAAGAGGTAGTGGCAAATTGTATCATTTAATTCACATTGAGTGTGAGAGAAGATTGAAGTAGTGTTTTAATCTGCAAAAATTGCCAGTGGATCAAATTAATTTACTCCTTTATCATTTTTCCCTTTATTTCTTGCCCACTGTTCAAGAATAACATTTTGGTAATAAGCATTATTTTAGGCTGTCTTTGTTGTTTAGTTATCTGAGTAAGATGGTGGTTTTATCTTCTGTTATCTTTTTGACATGTAGCCAAACAATGAGAATTCCATGTGCAATTGTAAAAACAGGAAAAAATTGTATCCCACAGGTCTAAATTTGCACTTTTGATAGTTAAGGATGTAAATTGACCAGACTGTGATAGACATCACCAGGTCTTCTAAGCTTAACATACCTAGAGGGAAAAAAGGGCAAGATCCTGTCTTGATCATTCTAATAAAGAATTAACTTATGGCTTCAGGGTTAGTAAGAGTTGCAGCAACTTAATTTAAATGCTTTATGTCATTGAAGCACATGGCAGAAGTACCTTAGTGGATCAAAATGTTCAGGAACTGGTTTCATCATGCCTCAGATGACCCAACTATCTTTTGGGAAGATGTGTGGTTTGTTAAATGAACATCTAAAAGGTTCATTTTACTAATTCTTATCATTTATGAACTGGTTTATCCATGTTCAAAAATCTTAACAGGTAAGAAGGGAAGCCATGTACACTTTGTAGTAAATCAAAGTCCCTCTGCTGGAATTACCTGAGGCGTCAAGAACACATAATGCTTTTGTAGACATGCCAAGTACGGTGGGCAAGTGTGTCCTATCTTAGCATTTAAAGTTGTGCTTAAATTTTAACTATTACATTCACTGTCTTCCAAATTTACCTATCAAGTTTCAAAAACTAAGCTTACAAATATAAAAATATTTATATTATTAGTGTTTATTGATTAATCTATGATTAAATGAAAACGTGTTCTAAAACAGACTTAGTGGAAAATATAATTCAGATATCCTTATTTTATGTAGGCATATAAGGTCTATAAATTGTTTCTGTTCTGAGTCTGGCACTAAAAGTTTTTAAAAGAGAATATCAAAACAGTTAAATTGTTAATGCCTTTTAAAAACTTGCCTCTTTCTCACTGTATAAAATTTGTTTTGGCTTAAGGCCATGGAAAGTGTTACTGTGGAAACTGTTACTGTGAGGCTGGTTGGCATGGAGATAAATGTGAATTCCAGTGTGACATCACCCCTTGGGAGATCAAGAAAAGATGCACATCTCCAGATGGCAAAATCTGCAGCAACAGAGGTGTGTCGTTCGCACGTTCCTTCTACGCATATTGATATAGCTTGCTTTTATTTTACAATATACATTTTCTGTAGTAGAACATAGATTGTGTTTGTTGATAGTTTCTAGTTCTCACTTATTTCAAATCTGGATGCACGTTTCCAAGTGAGTGGTCAGATACCTGTGTTTAGGTATAAACTTACACAAATCCACACCCATTTTTGGATTTAGCTGACTCAAGTTGTTCTCATCCTTCATTTTTGTAGTAAGGCTGAGCAGGATAATTTGTTAGTATATTTGCTTTGGTGAGAAATGTATCCTGCAAAACAAAATATTAGCAGATTTTTGACTTTGAATGGATTGGTGCTGTAAGGCCAACAGAACTGTATGTCAATTCACTCTTAAAGAAGACCAAGGACCCACAATTGAATTGGGAAAATTAAAATACAAAGCTTTTAGTTACCACTGCAACCTGAAAAAACAACTACGAAGTGTTCAGTAACGACGCTGTGGAATGCATACAGAGCTGGAAGGGTAGACTTCACACAGTATTTCTACCTACATGGGGTTTTGTTTGCACAAAGTTCCGGAATTTGAAGTTTACTTTATACTTCTGTCTAATGTTGCCATTTTGGAAAAAAATCAGCACAAAATAAGGTTGCTTTTCACTAGCTGCTTTGTTTGGCTTCATAAAACAAAAAGTTTTAAAAAAAGTTATTGTTTTGGCAATAGTCCAGAATAATTACAGCGGAACATAAGCACAAGTCACATAGATACCTCTCTTAAAAACACCTCTACTGACAAAACCTGTTATAGCGTGAACATCTAATTGTCCTGAGAGCATTTAGAAAACTCTCTTAATTATAAGGAAACGGAAAGATTGGCTCAAATTCAGAGATCATGTAGGCTCATTTAGTCTTGAGACCTTAGCAGTAAATTTTTTTCTGTAATTCTGGAGATAATAAATACCAAACTGGCTTCAGATCAGATGCTTTGTTTGCACTGAGAAAGCAATTTCTTGCGAATGAATTTCTTGTCAAAGCAATTTTTTGTTCAAGTTTGAAATTTTAATGTGCAAGTATTTCTTTAAATGTACATTATGATTGGGGGAAATGAGGATAAATAGTATAGCTGATATTCTGAATAGCTGCAAACTCCTATACAAAGATACATTCATGGGATACATCTATATTTTTAGACTTTCATGTCTCTGTGATTTTATCCACATATAAATTTTGTGGGCTTTTGACTACATAAAGTTGCTTTCCAACACAGTGTTTCTACTCTCTTTAGTCCTATTTACCCAGTTTTCTGTGTTTATACATCTTGTAATATAGGTGCAGTTCATCTTGTTAGTCTTGAGGAGCCTTCTAAAAATTAAATATTGAGGCTAATCTTGCTATCCAGCCTCCTTCAGTGGTAAGACGGATAAATTGTCTGTGTGTTTCCACTGTCTAGTCAACCAGCTGAGACCAGACGTGAACCTTTCGATTTTTTTAAACCTTGGTGAGATGGTGTTTTGCATTCTGATATCCAGGACAGCTGATCCAAATTCACTTTGAAGTTGTTTCTGGGAGGATTAATCACTCTCCAGAGGCATTTACTCATTTTCTGGTTTCTTTTGGATGGTTGTTGTGGGTTTTTTCTTCTCCTTCAATAACGTCAGTGAATTGTGAAAGTATCAAAAATTAGATGCAAATTTCTTGCGGACTGTCTTGGTGTCTTTAGCACTAAACAGAGCAGCAGCTCCTCTTGCTTCATGTAGCTGTCATGCATGCACGGTTGTGTAGACTTTCTCTTTTTAGAGAATTATAGAATCATAGAATTGTTATGATTGGAAGAGACCTCAGAGGTCATGAAGTCCAACCGTCTACCCAATGCTACCATGCCCACTAAACCATGTCTCAAAGCGCCACATATAAACGTTTTTTGAACACCTCCAGGGATGGTGACTCCACCACCTCCCTGGGGAGCCCGTTCCAATGCTTAACGACTCTGACAGTGAAGAAGTTCTTCCTAATATCCAACCTGAACCTCCCCCGGCGCAACTTGAGACCACTTCCTCTTGTCCTATTGCTAGTTACCGGGCAATAAAGTCTCCCCTCAGTCTCCTTTTCTCCAGACTAAACAACCCCAGCTCCCTCAGCTGCTCCTCGTAAGACTTTTTCTCCAGACCCTTCACCAGCTTTGTTGCTCTTCGTTGGACACACTCCAGCAGCTCAATGTCCTTATTATAGAGAAGGGCCCAGAACTGAACACAGTATTCGAGGTGCGGCCTCACCAGCACCGAGTACAAAGGGATGATCACTTCTCTAGTCCTGCTGACCACGCTATTTCTGATACAGGCCAGGATGCTGTTGACTTTCTTGGCTGTCTGGGCACGCTGCTGTCTCCTGTTCAGCCAGGTGTTGACCAACACCCCCAGGTCTCTTTCCACCGGTCAGCTTTCCAGCCACTCATCCCCAAGCCTGTAGTGTTGCATGGGGTCGTTGTGACCAAAGTGCAGGATCCAGCACTTGGTCTTGTTGAACCTCATACTGTTGGTCTCGGTCCATTGATCCAGCCTGTCCAGATTCCTCTGTAGAGCCTTCTTGTCCTCCAGCAGATCAACACTCCCACCCAACTTGGTGTCCTCTGCAAACTGACTAAGAGTGCAGTGGATCCCCTCCTCCAGGCCATTGATAAAGATGTTAAACAGAACTGGACCCAAAACTGAGCCCTGCGGAACACCACTGGTGACCAGCCGCCAACTGGATTTAGCACCATTCACCACCACTCTCTGAGCATAGCTGGCCAGCCAGTTTTTCACCCAGTGAAGGGTATTCCTGCCCAAGCCATGAACTGCCAGTTTCTCCAGGAGAATGCCATGGGAGACAGTGTCAAAGGCCTTGATGAAGTCCAGGTAGACCATATCCGCATCATCCACCAGGCGGGTCACCCGGTCATAGAAGGAGATCAGGTTGGTCAAGCAGGACCTGCCTTTCATGAACCCATGCTGGCTGGACCTGATCCCCTGATTGTCCTTCACATGCCTTGTGATCTCACTCATGATGATCTACTCCATATGTGCCAATATCTATATGTACTTGTGAGTCACCCTGTCCTGTTCTCAAATACATTATATTGTTCAGAGTAATCTGATTAAGAAGACAAAGGCTTTGCTGGAGTAGCAGAAGGTGAAGATACTCTTCAGGAAATGAACTGCATGCATCTGTAAGGTTAAAGCTACCTGCTGGCATCTCAGAAAAAGCAGTGAGTGTATGGCACTGAAGAGTATTGGGATTTCTGAACAAGGAAACTACCTTTTTTTGTTCTGACTTTTCCTAAGTGAGATGCATGTTCTCTGTATATCAGTAAGGTTGTGCCAAGTTAGTATCTCTGTTTTATATCACATTTCTCTTCTTATTGTAAACAACAGGGTGAAGCCCTGAATATTGACTTGGGAAAAGTGGAAAAGTATCATTTTCACGTAGATGTGCTGATGTTCTTGGGTAAAGAATGACCTCCTAGACATTTTCAGCTGGATTAGAATTTGGATTCCCTTCTAGTTTAAATGTTTATGCTTTAACAATCTTTAATTATCCACTGTGCCCAAGCCCAAGTCATTTAAACAGCATTAATTTTTATTGTCGTTAATGTCTGGGCAAATTACTGTTGATGTCAAAGATTTACGACTGTTTTGTGCACTACGTTTTTCTGTTGATTCCTAACAAGGCTCAACAGCATAAAGAAACTTGAATAGGAAGCCAACTTGTTTATATAAAGTATAACTACTAAATAATTGTAGAAGGTTTTAAATCATAGAAGATGAGCATGCGCTCATGATTAACAACTGCAGCTTTGAAACTGCACTCCTGTGAGAGCAGAAGATTCACATGTGTAAATTCCCGTCATCAAACTACTATTACTCTAATTCAGTTCAATTAATCTTCTATCTCTGTTTCTTTTTTTTTTTTTTCATCTTTCCTAGGCACATGTGTATGTGGGGAATGCACATGCCATGATGTGGACCCAACTGGTGACTGGGGAGATATTCATGGAGATACTTGTGAGTGTGATGAAAGAAACTGCAAAGCAGTGTATGATAGATATTCTGATGACTTCTGTTCAGGTAAGGAATATACATAAAAGGAACTTGTGTGTAATTTTATAACGAAAGCATCTGACTGGTCTAATCTTGCTCTTCCTTAGTGCTCCTGTTCTCATCTTCCTAGCTTAAAATATACCAAGCTTTAGCTGGTTTTTTTTGGAGGGTGGACTTTTTAAATTAAAAGACATAATTCTGTAAAAAAAATCAAAAATGTTTCCTGTTCTAAAGCTTTCTTAAAACATGTCTTTTTTTCTATACCTTTTAACAAATTTCTGTAAATATGAAATACTTTTAGGTGGCCATCTCCCTTCTAATACTTTTGTCTTTATTACAATCTAACATAAATTGGAGAATAGTTGAAACTTTAATATCTCTCTCTGTCTCTCTCCCCGCCCCCCCCCCTTCCTTGAGGAAATTTAAATCTGAAAATTTGTTAGATCAAATTTTATTTGTTGTTTCATGTTATATAGCAGGGAGAGGACAAGCAAGAGGAAGAAATTAGAGGAAAAGTTAATTAATGAGTTAATGAAAAACAGTACCCTGAGAATACCAATTGACCTGAGAACAAGTAGAGCATCAATATGTGGAAAATGTGAATGTGTGGTCCAGCTACACATCACTGACTGTACATCTTAGACACTTTCACCTTCCTTCTTTCTTCTACTGATACTTCAGAGCATTATATTCAAATTAGTTACCGTCCATCCAGCCATCCAAGGTTTGCAGTGTATTTAGATTGACGCTCCACGTATCAACTAACAAAAGCTGAGATTCTGAGTGAGCCCTTGCATACAGTTTTGTATAGTTAATGATAAAGATGCTAATACTGGGCAGGAGAGAAGGACTTGGATCAGTACACAGCATGGAATTTGTACACACAGGAACTTTACAAAAACAAATGCGAGTGGTTTCAAAGGGACTTGACAGATTACAGGTTGTCAGCTCTAATGCGTCCTGTAGAAATCTGATCTGGCCTAATTAATAATAGGAAGAATGCAGTGACATCAAGAAAAATAATGATGTGGTATATTCTTCTCCTATTACTAGAATGAAAGATCCCTCATAGGAAGATCACAGGAGTTGTCTATAATAGGGAGAGAAGGCTGAAAGAAACATGATACATAAAATTCTTAGCCTCTTCTTTGCCTGTTGTAAAGGTGAAAGGTTTCTCACTGTTGTGTTTTTTTAAAATAAATATTGATGAATCACTAGCTAATAAAATGAAAAAAAAAACCCAAACCCAAAGAAAGAAGCATTTCTAAAAACCTTCAGTGAATTCATTTGGTTGTTACTGTTTCAACCACCTACAAATGTTATATAGGTTTATTTAATTAATAAGCTGGAATGACATAGAACTGCAGTCATGAGAGCAGCGAGAGGATTGACTTTGGGCTGTTGTCAATTATTGTATTGCTGAGTATGTTTTTAGCACTCAGCGGCTGATCAAAATGTCAGCATCGGCTAAGGAATACAAAGCTAAAAAACAACATGGTAAATGTGTTCCGTAGTTAACGGTGAACACAACAGTTTCAAATCTAATTAGGTTAAAGCAAACCTGTGGCATCTACAGCTAATGCTGCATCACTGAAACAGGGCTTGAACTGCCTCTTTCGCAGACATTATTGCCATTGCTGCTGCTGCTGCTGCCCAGGGTGGCAACGGTTGTAAGAAAACAGAGTTTAAGAAAGTATGGACAGTTAGAACGGAGTTGGGGGGAAGATATTGCTATTTGGCATTGGATTAAGGACTGGTACAGTGTTCTTTATTACACACACATAACTGTAAATGAGCAAACCTTATGAGAGATACAAAAGGGGGTACTCGTATGTCACCGTTTAAGGCTGGGCCGGTG